CCGACGCCATCCCGCCTCCCTGCCAGCTGGCCCCCGATGCCACCGCGTCCTCCGACGCCACCGCGCCCCCCGGCCCGAAGACTCTGGACACCACTGAGCCCCCCACTCCGTCGGCCCCCGACGCCATCCCGTCCCCGGGCCCACCGCCCCCTGATGCCACCGCACCCCCCAGCCCGCAGACTCTGGACGCCACTGCGCCCCCCGGCTCGCTGCCCCCCGACGCCATCCTGTCCCCCGGCCCACAACCCCCAGGTGCAACCCTGCTCCCTAATGCCACCCCGCCCCCCGACGCCACCCCGACCCACGACGCCGTCCCAGCCAAGCCCCCGCTGCAGGCCCGCAGGAGGAGGCGCGCCAAGATCACCGGCCGGGAGCGCAAGGCCATGAGGGTCCTGCCGGTGGTGGTCGGTGGGTGCCCGCCCCGGGGCGGCGCGGAGGGGAAGGAGGCAGCGCCCGGGGGGCGGGCGGGGCGCCCGGCTCACCCCTCCCCGTCCCCCCAGGGGTCTTCCTGCTGTGCTGGTCGCCCTTCTTCGTCGTGCACATCACGCGGGCGCTGTGTCCCGCCTGCGCCGTGTCCCCGCGGCTGGTCAGCGCGGTCACCTGGCTGGGCTACGTCAACAGCGCTCTCAACCCGGTCATCTACACGGTCTTCAACGCGGAGTTCCGCACCGTCTTCCGCAAGGCCCTGCGCCTCCACTGCTGAGCGCCCGCCCGCCCCGGCTGCTCTGCGACGTCGGGCCAGGCCGGCGGAGGGGGCCGGTTGGTATCTGATTAAATAGATTCTTTTGCAAACGCCCCTGGGAAGGGTCCTGGGGGATGGGGGGGGAAGGAGGAGGAGCTGCTGCCGCTTGGGGAGAGCAGGCCCTCACGGACCCCCATCCAGCCGGGTAACCCCTGCCTTCCTTTGGAGGAAGCCCAGAGAACAGGCCCCATGAAGCGGCTGCCCACTCAGGGTGAGGTGGGGGGGAACCGGCTCTGCCCTTGGGGTGGGCGGCAAGGCTCCAGGGAGGCCAGTTCAGCTCCACCCAGAGGAGAAGCATCCAGAACCGGAGCCGCCCTTGCCTGGGAAGGCCAGGCCTGCCCACGTTCACTCTCCGTGCGCCCACAGCCTCCTCCAACAGGTGCCTCCCCGACACCTGCTGCAGCCCCCCACCAGCTATTCCCCCCCCAGCAGCCTCCTCCCCGCCGGCCCCCAGGGCTGCCTCCCTCTCTCTCAGTGGGAGAGAGTGGATGGCTCATCCTTAGGGATGAACCTGGCCCCGGGCGTGGCAGTTCCCTGAGGCTGCCCCTTCCCTGTGGGAAGATGACCACCGAGGGCCAGTCAGCAGCCAGGCCTCGCCCAGACTGGCCCCCGCTCCTCCAAGGACCAGCCAAGGTGGCCGCTCCACTGTCCCTGCAAAACACCGCTGAGCTGCCTCCCCCCATCTTGGCAGCGGCCTGGAGGTCAGAGCACAGCCTCCTGCCAGCTTCTGACCAGAGGATGCCCAGAGCCCCGAGAAGGGCCTGGGTGCTGGGTGGGCCCCCCGAGGCGGCCCCACAGGGCACTCAGTCACCCTCTGCCTCAGCGATGCCCTCGGGGCCAGGCTAGGGCGCGGGAGCAGGGAGGAGGTGCGGGGCCCAGGCCAGGCAGAGCCACCCAGGGTGCCCTTTGTGCTAGGGCTGCCCGGCTCCCCTGCCCTCAGTGTGGCCCCCTGACCAGGGACGGCCCACCTGGACTTCATCCTGGCTCCCCCAGCCCCAGGGCCCTCTGCTCCCTGTGCTGCTGGCTGAGTGTTCCCATGGGGAGGATGCTGTCAGTGACAGACAGCCATTGCAAAGTGCCAAGTTCTCCTCTGAACATGAGGAATTATGGGCTATGAGGTCCACAGCAGCAGGCACAACCTCGGCGTGTTAAAATATCCCGTGCAGAGAGGGGACCGCCCCTTCCCCTCTGGGTACGCACCCTCTGCTGCTCATGGTCTTATTGCCGCCTCCTCCGAGAAGCTTACCCTGATCACCCCCAGGACCAGCCTGTCCACACCCCCTTGGAGAGACTTGTCCTCAGGGAACCGTCTGAGTAACGATGGGTTCACATCTGTCTCCTGCTGGACTGGGGGCTGACGATGGGCGCTGTGTTCCTGTGCCCGCACAGGGTCCGACAGGCGGGGGGAGCACCTGGGTAGGACGCCAGCACTGGTGGCTGCCTGAGCTTCGGGCACCTTCTTGCCTGTGAAGTGTGGGGACAGCCACAGCAGACACACCGGCTCTCCCCCCGGGGCGTGTCCCCCCGACACTCAGAGGGGCCCCTGGCGGCACGGCTGAGCCCCTGCCCTGCCGGCTGTTCCAGGCAGATGCCCCAAGCCGGCCGATGGTCCCTCCAGATCTCTGAGACTTGAAGTCAAGACCAGGGAGGGGGCACTGGGGCTGTGTCAGGCTGACGGCAGGTCCGAGTGAGGGGCCCTGGACTGTGGCCGCGGGCCCCCAGCGTGCCCACTTCGGGCGGCCAGGGCTGGTTTCTGCTGCTGCCACCAGAGGCCCTCCACCAGCACCACACCCGCCTGCCAGCTGTGGGCACCTGCGGCTCTGCCCACCCCACCCAGGCTGTGTCTGTGTGGAGCGAGGCCACGTCCGCATCCCGTGCGCCCCTTCTCATCACCTGGACGTGCAGACAGGGCTGACGTGCTCCTGAGCGCAAGGGCCAGCCCAGCGAGCTGCACCTCCCCCGGGGCTGAGCTGCGGGTGGCCCCACACCGTCCCACCAACCTGTGGGCAGACACTTGCAGCCCACAGAGGGGGACGAGGCGGACACGGGGGGACAAGGTGCAGGTCTGCAGACCCAGGTGGAGCAGGGGGCGCCTCAGCTGTCCCAGCATGCTTGGCTGGCCCACCAGGTGCCGAGGGCCGCCCAGCCTGCAGCTCTTTGGAGGACTGCGGCGCCCCGCGTGGCCTGGCCCACGCTGACCACTGGCTGGCAGAAGCTGGCCCCTCGCCTGTCCCTCGCAGCGGCGGCGTCTGGCTGGAGATGCCAGCAGGTGTGTTGACACAAACTCTTAGGACTGCTGACAAACCCTCAGTGTCCCTGAGAGCAAATTTCCAGAAGCTGCCCGACGGCCATGGCTACACAGAGACGGCTTCACAGGCTTAGAAACAACACCCTTCGGAAAACCGTCCCCCAAACTGCAGTCCCGAGGCTTCTAAAGACAAGAGGGAGGACAAGCTGCCCCTGACCCAGCAAACCCCTGCCTGCAGGCCCACCCGCTCTGCACAGCCTGGTCCTCAGGAGGCCCGTGCTGACTGTCCACATCAGGGGTTGCTGTGCGGGGCCACCCGCCACGCTGGGCACTTGGACCCCTCCCCTGCAGGCTGCGCCTCAGCCTGCAGTTGCTTGTTTAGCATTTCCAGGTTTGGGGTGTTCCTTCTCGGGGTGCGGGTCCCTTCGCAGCCCCCTCCTGCTGAGGCAGACGGGGCCCCTCCTCCCCCGTCCTCACATTCCTGCGCCTGTAGGCTGAGCAAACCGGGGGGCTGTCTGCACCGGCGAGAGCTGAGAAGCCCCCACTGCCACCTTCACTCACCCCGGGAGGGAGTCTTGGGGCACTGTGGGGCTGCGCTCCCCACATTCCCGGCCGGGGGTATGAGCCCCGACTCCTCGGGCCTTCGCTTCCGAGAGGTAGTGGCAGATGAAATGCCAGGACGGCAGCCACTTACCGCACCAGTCCTTGTTAAAGAAACCCCGCGTCAACCAGCTCAGTCCCCAGACAGAGCTTCTGGGGAGAAGCTCCCGCCACCTGGAGCCAGGCTCGGCCGGAGACAACAGGCGCCTCCTGAGCTCCCGCGCTCACACCCCTTTTCCTGTCTGGACTCTGGCCGCCCCCTTGCCTCATCCTGGAGCCAGCGTCCCAAAAGGCAAGTCTCCAGGGCGCTATGGACTTGGAAGAACCTTCTGGAAGCAGGAGCCTGAGGAGGATGCAGGCCTGGGAGAATTCGTTCATGCCCACAGTGGCGTGATCGTGGAGGACACACAGCTCACAGAACTGCTTCAGGGTGAGCGTCAGAATCAAAGTCTGTAAACTGGTCCTAACCTTGGCAGTCGAGCTAGGCTCACCACCGTGGCACCCCCGCCATGGAGAATCTTCACCTCCCCCAAGGTAGGAAGGACCTCGGAGCCTCCTCAGTGCAGAGAAAACAGCGACCACAGGACCACGGCTCCGGGGCCATGAGGGCTTTTCTGGAAACCTATGGAAGCATCCAGAACATGAGTGACTGCTCCTTGGCAGCACTCTTGATCAGCAGCAGAGGCAGGTCTCGTTTCCAGAGCCAGCTGAGCCTGATGCCCAAACGTGTTGGTGGCGAGTCCCCAGGTGCTGGCCCTGGCTGACCCCCTCCGTCCTCCTTGCCCAGCTCCTGGGACAGGCCGGGCGAGGGCAGTGAGAAGGGGCAGAGACACAGAGATGCCCCGGGCACAGGCCACACGCATGCTCTGAGGTCTCCCAGCCCGGGTGGGTCAGGCCCCGCTCCCTGCCGGGCTGGGCCAGCCGGCGTGGGAGAAGTGAGGTGGCCGCGGGCGCCCGGGGCCACCCAGTGGTGGTCAGTGAGCCTGACCTGTGGCCCTGGCCACAGGGCCAGGCTTGCTCCCGATGGGCCCGCGTTCTTGGGGTGCGGTCTCGCCCTAAAGGGAAGGAATGGCACTTCTCCAGTACAAACAGGCCATCCCCTCGCGCTGGCCACGGAGGCAGCAGGTCCAGATGCCCCGTCACCTCAGAGACTGGACAGGCGGCTCGGCCTTCCCGGCGGAGCCTGAGGAACCCACACGCCTGGGGCAGTGCCACCCTCGAGCTCCCACCTCTGCTCCAGCTCCTCGGGTGACAGACACCAGGGGAGGACGCTGCAGTGGCCTCGCCGACCCCACCGGTCAGCGCACTCCCTGAACCTCAGCCTCCAAGCTGCGCCAACGGGATGACAAACCTGAGGCCGCTGGAGCTGGAGTCCTCCGTCCGGGCGGAGCAGGGGGACATCACCTTTATTGACAGACACATGTATGTACACACGTGTTACACAACACGACACACCCATGGGTAAGACCGGACGCTCATGATCCAAGGGATAAAAAAGAGCACCGAGAGGAGGCGCCGAGGTGGCCCGGGGCCGCCCGTCCCCACGGCCCCAACCCTCCTTGGGCTTCTGGCGGCAGGAGTTCATTTCCAGGGCACAGGTCACTTAAAGTCTGTTAATAACTTGGCCAGCAAGTTTCTTCACCTTCTCCTCAACGTCCCCTAAAGTCCTCAAGGGGTCCTGGACCTGCGACAGGCTCGCGGCACCACGGAGCGGGACCCGGCGAGCTCTCACACAGTGACTTTCTCCATCACGCTCTCAGTGACGTGGACTTCGTCCGCCTGGACGGTGACGGCCGCCGACTGCCCGCACATGTGCTGGTGGTCCTTCCAGTCCTGAAAGGAAGGACACCCACGTTACCAGGAGCTGCCACCAGGGCCGGAGCAGGAAGTCTGCCCCAGGAGCACGGCCTGTGAGGACTGCCACCCCGAGGCTGCAGTCCTGCGCCAGCCGTGTGCCCAGCCCGCCCAGGGGTCTCTGCCAAGCCCAGCCTTGCCCACCCTCGTGTTTAAGGGACCAGCTCAAAAGGCAAACAGCCCACGAGCCTTGAAACACTGAGACCCTGACACATGTCCATGCTCTGACCCCTGTTCCCTTTCAGGGGAGACAAGAAAGAAGCGTACATGCGGAGAAGCGCTGACAGCTGACACGCCGCCCACGGTGTTATTATAATTGAAAAAGAGAAAAAACAAGGCTGCAGCCAGCCACGTGTCTGCCGGAGGGTTTGGTGGCTGTGGCTCATGGGAAGATAGGGGACGGCGTGGGCGCTGAGCGGGACACCAGCTCCTCCACGCCCACCGTGCCCCCGCTCTGGGCAGGTGCCGCCATCAGCCCGGTACAGGCGGGACCATGGCGAGGGCCGCCCCTCGGCTCTGGAGGAGGCGTGACGGCAGGGAAGACGGCCGGCCGCGTGAGTCAGGACAGGGGTGCCCCAGACACACGGCGGGCGAGGGCTGGCAGCAAAGAAGGACAGGACGGATCACACGCGCGCGCACACACACACGCACACATACGCACACACACAGGAGCATCCCGACGCCCACGGGGGCAGTTCCTGGATGGAGGCACTCCAGCTGGTTGTCTGCTGGCCTGTGTTTTCCAAATTTTCTACAGTAAGTGTACCTGAGTCTCATAACAACAAAGTAAGATTTGAAATCATTATATCAACAGAATAAAACCTTAATTTGAAAATTACCTGAAAGGAGACTCTGATATCTACGCAGTATGTGAAAACGTCAGGCACGCCGGGGCCACGTGCACGGCCTTTCACACCATGCATACAAATTAACTGAAAATGGATCATAAACCTAAACATAAGAGCCAAAACTATCAACGTTTTAGAAGAAAACAGGAGATTTTCCTAACCTTGATTTAGGTAAAAGTTCTCTGACGCCATGGTGTGATCGCCATCAAAAAAATTTTTTTGATAAAGTGGACTTCATCAAAATTAAAAACTTTTGCCCTGCAAACAACACTATTAGGAAAATAAAGAGACAAGCCACAGACCGGGGGAAAATATCCGCAAATCGTACACCTGATAGAGGAACACGGAACTCTCTATGCTCAATAAGAAAAGAATCCAATTTAAAAATGGGCAAAAGATCTGAACAGACATTTCCCCCCAAAAGATATACAACTGCATAATAAGCTATAAAAAGATGATCAGTCAACATCCTTTGTCACCAGGGAAATACAAATGACAACTCCCTGTGACACGGCTGCACACCCACCAGAACGGCTGTCATCAGACAGATAGTCACGAGTGTTGGCGAGGACGCAGGGAAACTCTTATATGCTGCTGGTGGGAATGTAAGATGGTGCAGCCACTATGGAAAACAGTTTGGAAATTTCTTAGAAAAGTTAAACATAAATTTTCTATATGACCTAGCAAGTCTACTCCCAGGTACCTAGCAAAGACCAAAACATACAACCACCCAGAAACCGGTACATGGATGTTCCCAGCAGCATTATTCACAATCATCAAATCGTCCAAACAACTCAGATTCCATCAACTGAGGAACGGACACGCACGTGGTCCCTCCACAGGGTGGAACATCACTCTGCCATAAAAAGGAAGCGCTGACACCTGCTCCGAGGCGGCTGGACCCTGAGGACTTGCTGAGCGAAAGCAGCCAGATGCAGGAGACACCTGCTGTCTGATTCCTGTTACGTGAAATACTCAGAAAAGGCAAATCTCTGAGAAAGAAAGGAGATTCGGGGTTCCCAGTGGCTGAGGGGGAGCTGAGGGGTCTTTTTGGGGTAATGGAAAGTTCTAAAACTGAATTGTGATGTTGGCACAACTACAAATTTACTAAAAATTGTTGAATTGTACCCTTAAATGGGTGAATTTTACGGTACGTAAATTATACCTCAATGAAGATACAGAACACACACGTGTGCACACACACCCCTCAAATGGGATTTGTAAAGAAAGTAAAGTCTGCAAATTAAAACCCAAAACAAGTCATGGTCCTTGTCCAACTCGTGAAAAGTTGAGCGACATGAACCACCTTCCACGTCTTCTGAGGAGCACACAGGGCGATAGGGGAAGCCGGGGCAGGCAGCACCGGGAGGCGTGAGGGCAGCATTCACCATTTATCACAAGTAGCTGGGCTTGTCTCTTTCAGGTCCTACTCACTTTGGATCACTTGTGCTCATTTTGGATACAATATGAGAATTACGGTTTCTGAAGTTCATTTTATATCAGTTTAAGTAAATAAAACCCAGAGCATACGTCTTCATCAAGGCAGCATGTCAAAGGCGGACGAACTTCACCTAATGGAGGGAAGAAATGGATCTCTGTCGACAATTTAACCCGCCTGGTTCGTGAACAGAGGGCCCCAGACTGTAGCGTGCCTTCACACCAAATGCCACCTGGCCACAACAACTCCATCAAGAAATAAACCCACGAATCTTCCTGTGGCAGTTCAAACTCAGGGAAGATCTACAAGCCAACCCCGTTCAGATCACAGCGCCAGCACAGAGCCTGTCCCTCCAGCCACTGCCACGTCTTAGCTGCTCCTCCCGCAGCCCTGGGCACACGCCACAGCCTCGCAACATGCAGCAAGACAACCGTGGATGCCTTTATCTCAGCGCACAGCCTGGACTGAAACTTCAGGGGAAAGCTCCTGGTTCTATTTCCTAAGTCTCCAGCACCCAAGACGGGCCAGGGCTTAAGAGCAAACCTGGGGGGCAGGTCTCGCCCCCACAGATGCACTTAGAGGCCGCAGAGCCCTTGGGGTTCCAAACGCTCTCGCCCACTCTCAAGGGCCGGCAGGCAGGTCCCCCGGGGTCCTGCAGGATGCGAAGACACACTCATTCCTCGTTGTCTGTCTCCCCACAGCACCCCGGGAAGCCCTCAGGCATCCAAAGACCCCAGAGGTGGGATGTGCCACGTGCCCCATATGCTGGCCCACCTCCCGCCTGACACCTGCTCCTCCTGAGGGTCTCTGCTGAGAATGGAAGAGGCTTCAGGAAGCCACCACGTGGTGCACCCCTGGCTGGGGAGAGACTGTGTCCACAGACGCAAGGCCACCTTGTTGAGGCCGCGTGGCGAGGCCAATGACTAGGTGTGCACCGTTCATCCACCCAGCACCCTGCCTTTTTAACTTTGGGCAGTTTCTAATGGGCACAAAGAAGAGAGGCTGACACAGCAGGGCCCACGCTCCTGCACGCAGCCCTCACTCTGAGTAAGCGTGGGAGAAGCTACAACAAGCTAAACTAGCAAGCGCTCCTCTAGAAAATCTGCCCTTTCACTTCCTTAGAATCAACGGCCGAATAATGGAAACAGAGACACGTGTGAACAAGCACTGGGACTTCACGATCTATGACGAGGCGCCCGGGGCCGGGAAGCACTGACCATGACAAGGTCAGAAGCCACTGCGCGCGGCGGCCCCGACCCCGTGCTGCGGCAGCTCGGAGCAGGGACCCCCCGTGGGAACAGGGCTCCGGGGCCTTGCACGGCCACGGCAGACTGCACGTGTGGCTTCACAGGGCGTTAACGGCGCCTGCAGGCACCACGGTGGGGCCGATGCCCAGGGGAACGGGCTGCAGTGGACCAACAGCGCTGCTGCGGAGGTGGGGCCCCGCCTTCCGGAAGGAGCCTGGGCGCTCCAGAGAGGCCCCAGGGTGCCCGTGTGCAGCCTGTCACGGCGGAGTGGGGGTGGCAGGGCACGCTACCTTGCGCTGGCAGAAGGTGGAGCAGTAGTTGACCTTGTGACAGCCGGTGCACTCGCTCAGGGCCTCGCGGCCGCAGTTGACACAGGACTGCTGCAAGAAACACACAAGAGCGTGAGCGTGGGGCACCTGCGCCGTCACCCGAGACGCGCCGTGCAGCCGGGGAGCTGCCCCATCTGCCTGCGGACGCTGACGCACGCGTGCCCATCCCCAGGGCTGCCGGACGCACACTCCCTCTTCCTCTAAGGGGACTTGCACTCAATGACTGGGAAATTTGTCCCACGTCCACATGTAACCTTTTCTCCAGATCTCAAATTTCATCTCCACCGAGGACAGAAACCAAACCTGGGAGTAACAGAACTTTCAGCCACCGAGAACATTTCCCAAGCGTTTGTCCAGGCCCTGGAGACGGCCCGCTGGGCCCGGCTGCCGGGGGCCCATTCGTGGGCTCTTGTCAACCGCTGCCCCTAGGCTCCACCCCCTGCACCCCCCAGCCCGAGCTGATCCTTGTGGGGCACCGAAGTCAACGTTTTGTGTGCTTTGTCCCTAAATTACACGACCGGAGCTTTTTCAACCCACTGGGGCCCACACACAGGTAAGGAAAGCCGTCCGCGGTGGGCCTTGGCGGCCTGACTATCCAGGAGCTGTGAGCTCTGCTGTCAATTCTCTGAGGTGGAGACATGTGCCAGGCCCAGGAGGGGCCCAGGTGAGGCCCGGCGAGAACACCCGGCAACCCTGAACGCAGGCGGGGCCTTTGCTGACGGGTCATCGGGTCGGCGTGTGACAGCACAGACAGGTCCGACACGCCTGTTGACAATCCTACCAAATCCCACGTCCACCACAATTTCTGCATGTGTGTACAGAAGAGCAAACCGGTTCTAGTTTCTGTTCTGAATTTCAGCTTCCTTCTTTGCAAAATGTCGTGTTTACTGTGACTAACATTTTTCCACCCATAAAACCACGCCCAGTGTGCACTCGCTCACTTCAGAAAATGTGAGTGTTAGGCGGACTCTGAGGGACGAGCTCAGTGCCCCGGCTTTATTTGTTTTTTTTATAAGTTTATTTATTTATTTTTTTTGTGAGGAAGATCAGCCCTGAGCTAACATCCATGCTAATCCTCCTCTTTTTCCTGAGGAAGACTGGCCCTGAGCTAACATCTGTTGCCAATCCTCCTCCTTTTTTTCCCTTTTTCCCCCCAAAGCCCCAGTAGGTAGTTGTATGTCATAGCTGCACATCCTTCTGGTTGCTGTGTGTGGGACGCAGCCTCAGCATGGCCGGAGAAGCGGTGCGTCGGTGCATGCCCGGGATCCGAACCCAGGCCGCCAGTAGCGGAGCGCGCAGTGCCCCGGCTTTACATGACAAAGTCTGTACCACAGACAGAGGCAGCCAGGGACCGCGAAGGTCTGGCGCAGCTTGTGGCATCCCAGGCGCGAGGCTCCGGGCCCCACACAGGGAACGGCCACAGGGCGGGGTGCTCGGCGGGAGGGCGCCCGGTACACACTGAGCCCACACAGCACAAGCCTTCGTCACCGTCCTCGGGGGCTGCAAGTCCTCTGGTGTCACACTCGTCCCTCTGACGGCCGAGAGCACGCACTCACCTGGACCTCCCCTACTTGTGCCCTTCACACCCAGCACGGTTCTTGGAATACAGTAAGCACTTAATAAACAGCTTTGAACTAAATCAAGAGCCTGCCATAATGAATGAGACCTGACAGGGCTGGCGCCTCTCTTGCAGAGTAAGTACTTACAACCCCTCGGGCCTTCCCCGACACACCCTTTGGGAAAATTATCTTTTAACAAAAAATACCCTGGGGTATGGATCAGAGTCAGACACAGCAGCGTGAACTCAGCTCCATGCACAAGGACAGAGGGCCAGGGACGGAAATACTGAGAGCCGTGTCTGTACACACGTCTCCGTGCTGCCGGCTGAGGCCCAGAAGCCACGACACCCGGGGGCAAGGAGCACCCCCGCCCAGATCTTGGTTCCTAAGACCGTCCTCCAGTGAAGGAACCTGGGCCCCTTGGAGAAGCGGCTGGTTCAGGGCCGGGGCCGGAGATGCCCAAGGTGGGCCTGGAGCTCTTCCAGCGCCAGAAAGGAGGGAGGTGTTCAGAGACACGAGGATGGGCGTGGACACGGGAGCCAAAGGGGCAACCATGTGAGCACAAGTAGCACACGTCTAGGACAGAGCCCCACAATAAAATACATACAAATGAGCCCACCCTGATACAAACAAAGAAATGGACAAAAGACAACTCTCCCATGCAGAAGATTCCAGAAATACTCCTAGCTCCCCCCATCCAAGAGGAGTGGACCAGCTAGGGGACCAAGTGTGGGGAGGGGAGTCACTTTAAGGGGAGAAACCTCTGGGCCCACATACTGCCTGTGATGCCCCCCAAAAGGTATATGCTGAGCCTTTGGGTACTGGGGCCTTTGGGGGTAGATGGGGCCATGAGCCTGGGGCCCCATGCCGGGATCAGTGCCCTTACAAGAGAAAGAAACCAGAGGGCTCTCCCCAATGTGAGGACACGGTCAGGAAGAGGCCTCACCCGCACCCAGCCCGCCTGCAGCCTCCTCTCGGCCGCCGGGGGGCTGAGAATAAACACCTGCTGTGGCAGCTCAGCTGGCCGAGCCAGGGCCCGAGGCGAGGCCCCTGCACGTACCCCTCCTCCCTTCTGCACTATGCTATACTTACCTCTTAAAAGGGAAGTTAGCAAGATCAGAGAAAGCCTGAGAAAGGGCTAAGAGACACGGACACAGACCAGGGGAGGAGAGATGGGGCCAGAGCAGGCACACCGGCCCCAGCCTGGGGCCGTGGCAGTCGGCCCAAGACCTGCAGCCACATGGCCAGCTTCTGCCAGACACCATGCCCTTGATGGGGAAGGGCATCTGCTCTTCTGCCCTGTTTAATCTCTGCAGAGCTAATTACAGACACACGAATGCAAACACCCCATGATTAAAACTGGCAAAAATCTCCTTAATAGTTTCAGCTGGGCTAAACTTGATTTTTAACAAAATCCCAAATAAAATGTCAGGGCAGGCAGCCCCAAACCTTCCCCCCCGCTGCTGCAAGGGCCTGCGTTCTCACTCCAGAAGCTCACGAGGGCGGCTTCGTGCAACCTCTCTGATTCCCACAGCCTTCTCGCGTCCTGTCTTTCTCTCCCACGCCCCCCAGCACTCTCGGGAAGACACAGTGGAAAGCGCCCTACAGGATGTCTCCAGGCCAGCAGTTGTCAGTGTCTGCCTCTCCAGCCCTGGACTCTTTCCAACATTACAATCAAATAGAAGTAGGACTTGCAAATAACAGCATTGTGATGGCATAAGAGCTTCTTCCTGTGCTCCAACGGTAGAGGCTCAGGGAACAGAGATTCATGGCCATTCTGGCTGATGCTGAACTTTCTCGTCACAGCAAATCCCTCAGCAGAAAGCCACTCAGCACTCTCCGTGGGTAACAGCCTAGACGACATGTGTGCCCCACTGGCCTCCTTGCTCCTCTTCCCCACGACCCACACTGTCCCCAGCCCCCGCAGGCTGCTCCTCACCACTGTCTCAGGGGCTTTTAGGGCCGTGGTCTGAGTCCCTTCACTGGCACGCCGCTCACGTCGGAGCCTCAGCAATTCCGACCACCCTGTAGGCCCCGTGAGCTCCCTGGAGAGTGGAGCTGGGGTCATCTGCTCTAACTGGAGTCACCGTCTCACAGGGACCCAGCGCCCAAGGGCTGGGTCATCACGGAACCACAGTGATCAGAGCCATTGCCCCTTGTGAGAGAGGTTCAACACACCATGCTGAACACAGTAACCCTGTGTGCAAGCAGGACCGTCAGCCTGGTCACCCCGAGAAGCAGGGCTTCACACCACCAGCACACGGACGATGAGACTCTGTGTCCGAGCCGCACAGCGTCCACCCCGGCCGGTGACACTGACTGACGGGAACGGACGCATGGCACCTGGCCTCTTACAGGTTATGTGCTCGGCCTTCATAACATTACTCGAGAATGCCACATCCTGCCGACAGCTTGGGAGGACACGCGCGCCTGTCACAGCTCCAGCCTCTCCCAGAGGCTCAAACGGGGGGACGCTGGCAGCGGGGGCAGCGGAGGCTCAGGCTCGGCCCTCTAACTAAAAGGCTTAGCATTCTTCTACCAAAGAGGGGATTTTGAGGATAAAAGGATTTCATGTCGCATTTCTTTCTTAGAAATACATAAAATTACAAATAATATGCAAAGCCCTGCTTTCCAGGGGTGGAGAAGTCGCCAATCCAGCGACAGCAGATGTTCCTGCTGACCCCACAGCCCTGATGTCAGCACCCCCTGCCCAGGGGCGGCCTGGTGATCAGGCCAGGGACAGAGCCGGGAGGCTAGGGACAGACTGCCACCTCGTCACGTGTTTTGGGTCACAGGAATTCAGCTTCTAGACCTTTTAAATGTGAAATGAGGATGAAAGTGACTATGAGCTCATCGGCTGTTCCTCTGCGACAAATAAAACTCACAGCTGACTCACAACATTCCCCATTTCTCCGAAAGTTACCAAGATACCGGATGAGGCTAGAAATACTCCGGTATGTTTTAATCCACTTTCGTTTTCATCCCATGTCTCATTTGGAACTTTCACTGAAGGGAGGAAATGTGTCTAAACTATAAATTTTACTCTGTGAAAGAAAGGTCCACAAAATTGGCAATGAAAAATGTAAAACTGAAAGTCAAAAATACCGTCCTCTTTCATTTCCTTGCCAGCACGAAGTTCAGCTTTCTGTACAGCCAGTGCCCTGACCCCGAGCTGCCCGCCCCATGTGCGTGGGGAGGGAGAGGCCCGGATGCTCCAGGCCTTAACGGGAGGAGGCCGAGGAGGGCGCGGGTGGACACGGCAGGTGTCCCCAAACGCAATCTCAGCAGCGGGGGGCCGCCCTCCACCAGCCACCCTGGGGAGGGGCGAGCATAGCCCAGGTCCCTGGCTGGGAACCCAGGGTTCAGGGAGCGTTCCAAGTCAGAACACAAGTGACTGTTTTCCAGTTTACGCTTTTGCGTACAACCTGAATTAGCGAGACACGTCAGACGCTCCTTCCTTTTCATCCCCTAGACACGCCCCGGGCAGCTGTG